GCGGCGCGGTGCCGCTCGGCCTCTCTGCGAGTCAAGCGGCAAAGGGCGAGAGAACCCCCCCGAATTAGGAACGGTTTTTCCCAAGCCGCCAAGGGGGCCCGAAGGTAGTGCAAGAGGCGGCGCAGGTTTTGAAATCCCCCAGGGGCTCCTCGGATTCGGCCGGCCCTCTCCGGCAAGGTAGGCAAGGGCGCCAACAGCGCGCCCGGATGAGATGGCGTCGTAGCCCCGACGGTTTGCATTATTGAATGTTGCGAGAAGCTCAGTCGAGGCGGGAGGAGGAACATGAAGAGGATGAGGAGAAGGAGGAAGAGGAGGAGGATGAAGAGGAGGAAGAGGATGAAGAGGACAGATTATGCGGATATCTGGGGCACAGCCGAGGTGTCGCGGAAGAAATCCGCAGCAGAGACTTGGGAGAGTGAGGAGAGCTGCTTCTGCTAGACCTTTGGCGGGGCGGAACGTGAAACGTCACGGGGAATTAGGAGAAGGACGAGGAGGAGGTAGAGGAGGAAGAGAATGAGGAAGAGGAGGAGGAGCTGTTGGGTCCTTCGGTGGTTTGAACGAAGAATGGCCTCGCTGCGCCATTTGATACGACAACGACGACGACGAAGGCGACGACAAAGAGAAGGGAGAATGAGAGGGGGAGACCGCTGTGTTGGGATCTCGTGGTGCGCCTCTCGGGGCCCTCTGGGAGGCAGCTTTGAAGCCTCTTGGGGGTGTTTTGGGGTTATTGGGATCTTTTTGGGGCCTCTTGGGGGCCTCATGGGGCTCCTTGGGGCCTCTTGGGAGCCTCTTGGGGCCTCATGGGGTTCTCTCCGGGCGTCTTGGGGCCCTCTCGCGGCGGAAAATTTAGTTTTTGAATTTTTGGGCGCCCTCTTGGGTCTTTCTTGGGGCCGTTTTGGTACTCTCTTGGGCAATCTTGGGCGCCTCTTGGGCGGTCCCGGAGCCCTCCTGGACCGTGTTGGGGCCTTCTTGGGGGCCTCTTGGGCAGTACTGGGGCGATCTAGGGAGCCTCTGGGGCCACTGTGGAGCGTCGGGAAGCGGGAAAAGCGAGAAGGCCAAAAACATCGAAAACCACACAGGAAAATCAACAATTGTAGCCTCTCGGGGCTCTCTTGGGAGGCCTCTTGGGGGTCTCAGGGGGCGTCTTGGACGCGTCTTGGGCAGTCTTGGGCCCAGATTGGGCGTCTTGGGCCGATCTTTGGGTGCCTCGGGGCCCTCTTTGGCCGTCGTGGGTTTTTTTTCCGCGTCGCACTCGCAGGACAGACACGGAGCACTCTGCAGGAGCGCCCCAAAGGCTCGGGGAGGCCGAAATTCGTTCGAGGGGGGGGGGCACCGTGTGCCGCTTTTCCGGGGTCCCCGGCCCTGTAAAATATTTACTTAGGAATATGTTTGCATATACATATGTATATATATACACATATATACATATATATATATATACATATATATATATATATATATAACATATATATATATATACACATATATATATATATATATATATATATATTTCGCCGGCCCAACGGGCCAGAGGCGTGCTAAGATCTCCGGTAACTGGTTAACAATTCTCTAGTTCGCGCGCGCGGGGCGGCCCCTGGGGGTCCACCGGACGAAAAGTACCCCGGCAAGGTCCTGAGAGAGTCCCGGGAGGAGTCCCCCAGAGCGCTCCAGGAGCGCTCCATGAGCGCACCAACAGGGCTCCGAGACGTCCCCGAGAGCCCCAAGAAAGGCCAAGAGGCCCCCAAGAGGCCCCCAAGATGGTACACGAGGGGTCCGACATGCCACAAGATCGCTCCAAGACGCCCAAGATAGCCCCCAGACGCCCCAAGAGGCCTCCAAGAGCACTCCCAAGAGGGCCCCCGGAGGCAAAATTCATTGTTTTTCCTTAGGTTTTTGAGAGATTTTGGTTCCCACAAGACGGCCCCAGAGGCCCCCAAGATCGCCCCAAGAGGGCCCAAGAGGCCCCCAAGAGGGCCCCAAGATGGCCCAAGAGGGCTCGAAGACGGCCCAAGAAGCCTCCAAGACGGTCCAAGAGGGCCCCAAGAACACCCCCAGAGGGGCCCCAGAGAGGGAACACGAAACAAAATTTCGAGCCCTCGGCCCTAAGAAGCCCCTACGAGGCCCCAAGAGGCCCCTAAGAGGCCCCAAAAGGCCCCCACGAGGCCCTCAGGAGGCCCCCAAGAGTCCCCCAAGCGGCCCCAGGAGGCCCCCCAAATGCCCCCCCGAGCGCCCCAGGAGTCCCCCAAGCGGCCCCAGGAACCCCCAAAGCGCCGCATTGACACCAGGCCCTCGGGCAAACGGCAGACATGAGACCGTATGGGCAGGCGGAATGAGCGAAGCGATTAAATAAAAATGTGCATTGCACCACATAGCTTGCACCAAATAACGTACACCACATAGCGTTGTTTCATCCATGGTCTCCCGTATGGTATCCAATTTATCGTTTGGCTTCCCGCATGGTTTCCCGAATGGGGTTCCGCTTGGTTTCCCGGCTGGTCTCTCGTAGGGCCGCCCATATGCCTTGTAGTAACCTGGGTACCGGCTTTGACAATAGCATGAGTCGTACCATTGGCAATCGTATCAGCATCCTGTGATAATTTTCGCTCACGCGTTCATATATCATTCACATGAGCATTCGCGTAATGCTCGCCTCAGTGATCGTACTATTGGTGGTAGCTCTCGCTTACTAGCTAGTAACTAATCGTTGCCAGCGTGTTAGTCAGCCAATCAGCTAGACAGTTAGGTAGGCAAATTGGTAATACTGGTGGCACGGATAATTCGAGCAGTCGTAGAAGAAGAGAAAAAAAACATTAGAATTCGTAGAAACAAACGAGAACCATAGTGGTAGTAGGAGAAGACAGAATAGCACCGGTGAGAATGCGGTAACAGAATACGAGTAGCAGGGTGATCCACTGACCCCCCTTGCCGGGGATGAACAGACGCGCGAGATGTCTGGCTGCACCCCTGCTCCTTCCCCCCTCCCGCTTCCTGGCCATCGCTCGGACGTCCATTCCCTGTGTTTCTTTCGGTTTCGTGCGTGTTTTTGTCGCCAAGTGATCAAGGATGCTCCTCGATGGCCCTCGCCGATGGAAAAAGGCACACGTCCGAGCGATGCCAAGGCCCCGCTGTCAACGGGGCCCGCGGGCGCGCCGGCGCCACGGCCCCCCCCCCCACAGGCCGCCCGCGAGGACGCCTGCTAGCGGGGCCCCCCGTCCAAGGCCTCGGCCGGCAGCGCCGGTGGCCACCAGCCGCCACTCGACAGCGGGACCCGCTGTCAAGCTGCGGCCCGCTGTCTAAAGTTGCCCAGCGGGGGCGCGCGGCGCCCCCCCGTGGGGCTCCTTGAGACAGCGGCGCCCGCTGTCCAGATGCTCTCTTGCGGGGGGCGCGTCGGCCCGCGCGGGCCCCATGGGGACAGAGGCGCCCAGTGGCAAGCGGCCCCCCAGGGCAACGCCGCGCCGGTCCGCGGTCTGGCATCTGACAGGGGTCTGTCCTGTCCAGACCGCACGGGCCAAGGCGCGGAGGCTCCACCGTCATCTGGGGACGGGCCCCGGGGCCCCGCGTCGCCAAGCTCGCTGAGAAAACAGCCTGCGCCAGCTGGGCGGAACCTGCACCAGCTGCACCACGTCCACGCTGCCCGCCCACTCGGAGGAGCTCCCGGATAAGACCTCTCACCGGCGGAAAGGTGCCCACACCAGCTGTCAGAGTGCTCGCGCCCGAGCCTCCGCAGACGAAGACCTACCAGAATACAGCCACTGCACCGTCGAAAAGGGTCCGTGGGCGCCCACGGAAGGCCGCGCCGTCCGATACATCTCCAGGAGGGCTTCAAGACAGATCTGTACGACCCCAAGAGCAATCCTCTACAAGCGAGCTCCACTACTCGCAAAGGAACTCCTCGCAAATGGCACGGGTCCGCCGCGAGACATGCGATTTTCGGTCGTTCGCGAGTAGGCACTTTGCGAGTAGTGGGACGCGCTCGGTGAAATCCAAATGAACCCCAAATGGACCTCAATATGCAGTTGATGGCCCCAACGCACCGCGAGAGGGCACCGACCGAGAGAGCCCACGATTAGACGAGCGCGTTCCACCACTCGCAAAGCAGCTACTCGCAAATGGCCTGGTTCCGCCACAAGGGATCAACATGTGTTTTGGGGACGTTTGCGAGTTGGTAATTTGCGAGTAGTGGAACGCGCTCGGCGAAGATGTCCCCAAGAAAGCCCAACGACGGCCCCGAGAAAGTCTTTGCCCGAGGAGGCCTCTCAAGGGGGTTGGGCGGAATGGCATAAGCTTCCTGAATAATAGATGATAATGGTGCCAGCAGGTGCACTGCCGGGGCCCTGTGGAAGGCTGTGTGGGGCACACTGCCGCAAGGGTGTCAGAAGGATCTGCTAGCGAAGCGGCTGACCGAACGTGGAGCACGAGGCATCCAAAGAGCCTTCGCCTGTCGAGCCATCGGTAGAATAATCCGCCGAGGAGCGCATGATCACCTCTTTACAGCTTTGGGTGGCGGCATGCTTACTTTGCACAACACCTCGCGGGCCTTTCAATCACGCCAATTTCGTAGTCCAAGACATACGCTCTACTTCCGCCTCCCCATCCTCCCCCTCCATTCACCCTTCCTCCCCTTCCTCTTCTGGCTTCTCCTCCTCTCTTCCCTCCTCCTCTACCTCTGCCTCTGCCTCTTCCTCCTCCTCCTCCTCCTCCTCCTCCTCGAGCTCCGACTCCTGTCCCCTCCTACCCTTCCTCTTCCTCCTCCTCCTCCTTCTCCACATCCTCCTCCGCCTCCCCCTCCCCATCCCCCCCCCCTCCTCATATTCCTCTTCTGTCATCCCTCCTTCCTTCTGTCATCCCTCCTCCCCTGCTTCCTTCCTTCCTGCCTGCCTGCCTGCCTGCCTTCCTTCTATCCTTCCTTCCTTCCTGCCTCCTCCTCCTCCTCCTCCTCCTCCTCCTCCTCCTCCTCACCCCTCCCGTTTCCGCCTTCCACCCTCCCCGCTGCCCCCATCCTTCTCGAGCGCGTACTTGATGGTGGGGAGCGCGCCGTCGATGCGCTGCGTGTTGGTGATCACCGTCGGGTCCTTCTTGTCCTGGCTCGCGCGCTCTGGCCAGCCGGCCCACGGGCGCGGAGGCGGCGGGGGGGGGGAGGAGGAGGAGGAGGAGGAGGAGGAGGAGGAGGAGGAGGAGGAGGAGGAGGAGGAGGAGGAGGAGGAGGAGGAGGAGGAGGAGGAGGATGAGGAGGAGGAGGAGGAGAGGTAGGAGAGAGGGAGGAGGAGGAGGAGGAGGAGGAGGAGGAGGAGGCAGGAGGAGCAGGAGGAGCAGGTAGGAGGAGGAGGGAGGAGGGAGGAGGGCGAGAGAACGAACCTACGAACTCAAGAGTCGTGCGCGCTCTGGGCTGGGGATCCCGACCGTGCTCGCGAGGGCATAATCAGCGCGGTGGCCGTGGCATCGGCAGGAGAAAGACGCGTGGATCCGAGCATGCGACGCGTAGGGGGGGGGACGGGACGGGAAGGCAAGGGAGGAGGGAGGGGGGAGAGCGGGGGGGGAGGGAGGGGGAGCGTGGGGAGGAGGAGCGGGGGGAGGAGGAGGAGCGGGGGGAGGAGGAGGAGGAGGAAGAGGAGGAGGAGGAGGAGGAGGAGGAGGAGGAGGAGGAGGAGGAGGCAAAGGGAAATGGGAAATTGAGAGGGGCGACGCTTTGCGCCCACCGGTGCGCACTGGTGCACGCAGCAAACGGCGGGAGTGGGGCCACGCAGTCGAGTCACGCCGCCTGATGCTGGTAAGGGGGTGCAGGTGTGCAAGGGGGGAAGAGGGAGAGAGAAAGGGAAGAGAAGTGGGTAGTGGAGGCAGAGGCGATCGGGGAGGGGTAAGGCGTGAGAGAGGGAGGGGCGGGGGGGAGTGAAGAGGGGGAAAATGGGGTCAGCGGGGAGGTGGCTAAGGGGGGAGGAGGATCAGCCCGTCCTGGGGCACGTTGAAGTCGACACGGATGAAGACACGCTTGCCGCTAAGGTTGACGTTCTCGATCTTGAGCTTGGCCGGCATCCTGTCTCGGAGACGAGCCTCTGTCGACCCGAGCACTGAAGGGTAATGGCGCGCTGGGCACCGGGCGTCAAAAACCGAAACGGCTCGGGTTGAGGGAGGGGGCGGTTGGAGCAGCAACGAGGGAGCCTGAGGTCTCACTCGTCCTGCTCGCTCACCTTTGGCCTTCCTCCGTCTCCTGGTCTTCGCCCTGCTCCTCGCCCTCTCTCTCTCTCTCTGTGACTACTGCCCCTGGACCCTCCACGTCCCCCCTCCATCTCGTCCTTCCCATCCTCCCCATCCTCCTCACCCCACGCACACACACACACACGTACGCATTATCCCCTTCATCTCCCAACCCTTCTCTTCCCCTCCCTCTCCGCATGTCGCTGTCACTGCAGGTGGGTCTGTCCACAGTAGACTGGCGCCTTTGGTGCTCCCTCCCCACGCCTTCGCCGAGGGAGGGGCAGCAACGTACAACTCGTATGACGTAAAAACTGGAGGATGAGGAAAACTTTGAACGACGACACAGAGGGTCGACGGAGGCTCTTCTGATCCTACTCCTCTTCCGCCTCCTTCTCCTCCTCCTTCTCCTCCTCTTCCTCTCCACCACCACCATCATCACCATCATTATCACCACCATCATCATCAGCGGCAGCATCATCATCACCATCATTATCATCATCATCATCATCATCATCATCATCATCATCATCATCATCATCATCATCATCAGCAGCAGCAGCAGCATCATCATCATCAGCAGCATCAGCATCAGCATCAGCATCAGCATCAGCATCAGCATCAGCATCAGCATCAGCATCAGCATCAGCATCAGCAGCATCATCATCATCATCATCATCATCATCAGCATCAGCATCAGCATCAGCATCCTCCTCCTCTAGTCCTACCCTCTCCCACCTCCCCACCCCCCACCAATTATGAGGATGAGGAGCAGGAGGCCGCTGCTGAGGAGCGCCCAGTCCGCCCTCCCTCGCGCCAGGCTGAAGGGCTCATCGGTCTCCTCCGTCGCGGCCACGAAGTCTGCCTTGCAGCACATGTCGCCTCCACTCGGCCCCGCCTGCTCGTGCGCTCGGCATCTTCCTGTCTGAGTATACCTCGCTCTCTTCTCCTCTACCCCTCTCTCTCCCACTCTCCCTCTCTCTCTCTCTCTCTCTCTCTCTCTTTATGTATATCTATATATATGCATATATAGAATTACACGTGTTTATTCACCGAGGATTGGAACAACTGCGCCGCAAGTGAACGATAACGCAATGCAGAAATAGAAGCACCAGCGGCGCTGGAGGAACTGTCACCTCCCGGCATGCCCCATCGCTCGACCTGCGACGGTGCGAGCCTGGCACACAGCAAGCGCGTGGGATGGGCCGGCGCGAAGAGCGTCACGCCTCTATAGATTGTCCACGGAGTCGAGCTCGGTGCATCCGGAGCGCGCGAGGCGCGCGAAGGAGAAGCGTGAGGAACGACGCCACCGTGACACCGTGCCCCATGGCACGTTGAGGACAGGACGGCCTCCGAAAGCAGCCCGAGAACGCCCACGGAAGGCCCAGGGAGCCCCCACGACTCTCCGAGGCAACCCCAAGACGCTGCAAAAAAGTCTTTCTTTCCACGCCTCCCGTGCGGGCGACGTCTCCGCCCACAGCCGGCGCTCCTCCTCGGGAGTGAGCGCCGGCAGGCAGGCGTGCACCATGGCCGCGGCCCAGCGCCAGAGAAGCCCCCGAGAGGCACCCAGCAAGCCCCCCATATGGCCTTCGAGGCGCCCGAGGCATCGCACGTGACAGCTTCCCGTGCCCCCATCGAGCAGTCGCCGCCCGCAATGCTGTGAGGAGGAGGAGGAGGAGGAGGAGGAGAAAGAGGAGGAGGAGGAGGAGGAGGAGAGAGGAGGAGGAGGAAGAAGGAGAGGAGGGAGGGAGAGGAGGAGGAGAGGAGGGGTAGGAGTAGGAAAAGGACCAACAGGGGAGGGAAGGAGAAGAGGAGGAGGGAGGAGGAGGAGAGGAGGAGGGGAGGAGGGAGGAGGAGAGGGAGGAGGGAGAGGGGGAGGAGTAAGGAGGGGGAGGAGGAGAGGAGGAGGGGAGGGAGGAGGAGGATGAGGAGGGGAAGGAGGGGAGTAGGGGGGGGGGGTGGAGAGAGAAGAGAGTAACAGAAGGAGGAGGAGGATGAGGAGGGAGGAGGAGGAGAGGGGAGTGGGGGTGGAAAGGAAAGAGAGAAGAAAGAGGAAAAGGGAAAGAGGAAAGAGGAAGAGGAGGCGGTAGGAGGGAGGAGAGAGGAAGGAGGAAGGAGGCGGAGGGAGGGAGGGGAAGGATAGGGAGTAAGGTGAGGAAGGGATGAGGGAGGAGGAGGAGGAGGGGGGGGAGGAGGAGGAGGAGGAGGCTGAAGAGGAGGATGAGGATGAGGAGGAGGACCAGTGTAAATTCAAGAGTCATCCACGATGTTGGAAGCCACCCTCCCTCCAAGCTCCCTGTTCATAGGCCCCCAATTATGGTTCGTTTCAATTGAGGGAACTGCCTCGTTGGAAAACAACTGTTTGAAGACCCTGAAGCATGCATAAAAATTGTTCTCGGGATTCCAACGCCACGGATCAACCTTACTGTTGCGTCTTGACGATCTTAAATCATTCCAAAACGCCATTCCTGGGACTTCAACACCGCGAATAAACGTAACTGCTGCACCTGCATTGTCCTGAATCCTTCCAAAACACCGCTTCTGGTACGCTGATCAAGGAAATCCGTCAAACTCTTGCACGGTTTGAAAACGAACGTGCGCGGCGCTAAGGCGAGAGCCACATTTTGGAAATGAACCGCCCTCAATCCGTGAAACTCTTGCAGTGCGCGGCGCCAAAGCGAGAACCACATTTTGAAAACCACTCGCCTTCAATCCGTGAAACTCTTGCGCATGTTCACAGCGAATGCGCGCGTTCTGAAAACCATTCGCCCCCAATCTTGCACATGTTCAAAAACGAATGTGCGCGGCGCTGAAGTGAGAACCATATTTTGAAATTCGCTTACCCTCAATCCGCACATGTTCAAAACGAATGTGCGCGGCGCTAAGGCGAGAGCCACATTTTGAAAACAACTCGCCCTCAATCCGTGAAACTCTGCACTCTTTTAGAAAGAATGTGCGCGGCGCTAGAGCGGGAGCCACATTTTGAAAACGACCCGCCCTCCATCTGCGAAGCTGTTGCCAATTTCTAAGCTTCAGCATCATACATGGTGAGGAAATCTCAGGCGAAACGCCTGGCCCGCTCTCAGAACTGGCCCCGGGGTGCGACACGGAGAAGTTATTTATAAGGAAAAGGGATGGAGGGGGAGGGGGGAGGGGGGGGGCAGGAGTGATGGGATAGGGGGAGGGGAGGGGGAGGGGCGCAGGAAAGGGCGGGGAGGGGGGAGGGGGGAGGGAGGGGGGAGGGGAGGGAAGGGAGGAAGAAGGGAATGGGAGGAGGGATGGTAGGGTAGAAGGGGGGTGGGGGGGGGGGAGGGGGGGAGGGGTGGGGAGATGGAGGGGGTCGGTGAGGGGGAGGGGGCGGGGCAGGAAAGGGAGGGAGGGGGGGCGGGGGGGGCCCAGGGTGGGGGGCGGTCGGCGGGCGGCGGCCGTGGTACTGGTCGTGGTGGTGGTGGGTGGGCGCGGCAGTGGTGAGAGGCGTGATGGCCACCGTGGTCACGGTGGTCGCGGTAGTGGTCGTCGTGATCGTCGCAGTGGTCGTGGTGGCCGTGCCAGTGGTCGTCGATGGCGGGGCCGGTAAAGATATCGAACGACTGGCGAGCCCGTGCGTTCACTCCAGCTCTCACCTGGCCGCCCACGTGAGCGTTCCCGGATGGGGTCGGAAAAGCACGCCACTTCTCGGTCCGGCCGTGAAACGATTGGACATCTCATACCGCCAGGTCCGAAGCCTGTGTCGGTCCAGGCACATGCAGGCAGCTCGAAGGGCGCCTGGAGTCCCACGCAGTCATGGATCGATCGCAAGGGGGCGTGAAGCTGGCTGCCACGCGGACTGTAGCTCGCTCAACGTATCGAATGCGCGAGAAAACATGTGGTTGAGAGATGCCCCATGATGCGTTCCGCCACGGCGGCAGCTGTGCCAGCTGAACGGGCACTGGAAGCCAAGCCGAGGCCCTCTACCAGCGCAGCGAGGGCCGCCCGCGACTGGCGTGGCGACCGCGCGCTGAGCCTGTCCCCCTCGCCCAGGCCGTGCGCGACGAGCCGCAGTAGCTGGAGGGCGATCGGCGCCCTAATGGCGACCGCCTCCGCAGCGTCGCGCCCCGCTGAGCCCTTGGATGAGGCGATGCGGAGGACGGCGCACTGGCCACGGAAAGCCACGTCGCCCCTGCACAGCGCGAAGGCTTCGCCGCAGCGCAGCAGGCCATCGAAAGAAACCATCAGGAGGCACGCGACGTCGACGCAGCCTGCCTCCAGCGGTAGGCCAGCCATGGCCCCGACGATCTCGGGCGTGAAGGGGAGCACGCGCGCCGCGGGCCCCCTCTTCCGCCATGTTTTCAGCACCGCCCAGCCCAGATCCAACCGGCGCCTAAGGCGCGGGCTGAAGAAGCACACGCCCGCCACGACGTTGTTCGCCGCCGCGATGCCCGCGCCAGAGGCCCAGAGGACCTCCAGGTACCCTGAGACGAGCGCGTAGGCGTCCTCGCCCTCCTGGCCCAGCGCCTCGACGCCGCCCCCTGCGACGCCGTAGTGCTCCAGCAGGCGGTCGACCGCGGCGGAGTACCGATGCCTCGTCGCGGCGCCCCCGCGGAGCAGGAACAGCGACTGGGCCCCGCAGGGCGCCCGGCCTCAGCCGAGCACGCGGCGGGGGGCCCCCCGCGGCGCGGGAGCAGCAGCTTGGGCGGCCTGGGCGCGGCGGTCCTGAGCCGCGAAGGCCCCAGTGGCAGGGTTCGCATGCAGTTCGACCCACAATTTCGGTACACCCCTCACATCCCCCCACAAGGTTCGTGGCCTTACAGGGAGCTCAATCGAAGGGCCTAGTGGCAAGGTTCGCATGCGGCTCCACCCCTCATTTCGGCGCACCCCTTACACGCTTCGTGGCCCCATAAGGAGCTCCACCGAAGGCCCCAATGGGAAATATCGCATGCATTTCCA